CGGTGAGTGTATATATATATATATAATTCCAGAATAAAGTCGTAATAATACCAGAAAAAAATCACAAATTACGAGAATAAAGTAATACTCGAGTAGTCAAAATAATACAAGAATAAAGTCATAATATTGACTGATTGGCAGAATAAAGATGAAGAAAGCCATAAAATTATGAAGAAAAACAGTTGTTTTAATAATAAAAGGTGCAATAGAGTTATCACGATCTGCTAAACAGCAGCTGATGTGTTAAAAAAATAAGCATTTCCTTATTTGTAAAACAAAAACCAAAATCTGACTTCACTAGATGCTCTGCACTGCTCATTTTAACACAGTAGTAAATCTTTTACTGTAGGAGTTCTCACAATATCATGAATTTATTCTGTTAATATTATGATTTTATTCTCACATTAGTATGATTTTCTTCTGGTAATTTTAGGACTTTATTCTCATAATAATAAAAAATAATCTCAGTTTTCCCCTGATATTCCTTATTAAAGCTGAGCAGCAGATTGATATGAAGGGCAATGTATAACTTCAGCAAAACTACTTTTAAACACAGAGTGGAATTTTTCTGTGACCATGCATTTTTAGCTGTGAATCTAGCTGGAATCCGAGTATACATTTTGTCTGTGAGCGAATAGAGGCTTCTTGTCTAAAATGAGGTCACCACATTTGTTTCTTTCTTCCTAATATGATGAGGTAGTTGAAACAATCAATCCCACCTTAGCAGAATAAGCCCAAACCAAGACACAACATAAAAAAGTTGCTGTAAAAACACTCAGCCAATTGGTTACTAGAGTACAGCTGTGCGTCTTTGACACTAAAACTGGCATGAAAATTTGTTATGATTAATTAAAACTCACACAAAAAGAAAAGACTCATAAAAATCATATTAAATGACGAGTTTGGCCTAAAGCCGGTGATTCATGGCTGCAGCTTATAAAATTGCACAAAGGTGTAAATTTGTTTGGATCAGCACTGGATGTCTTATTCATTCAAACATGGAAAACTCAACAATGAAATCCAGATTTACTCTCAAATCAGAACTGCCAAGAATTTAGTCTTTCAGACACATTCATCTTCCTCTCTGTCTTGTCTCCGCCGTCTGTTTATTCTGGCTCTCATCAGTGCCATTACTGCCATGTCCGTCAGATCTCTTAGAGCAAAATGAAAAGCAGCAGTGATTTTTTTTTAGGTTCAGAGCAGGTTATGGAGTCTGTCATACAATCTTCTGAATGTCTCACAAGCTCTGGTATATTCTGATTTACATACTGCACATAAAAGTTTATAAAGTGTCTCCCAATTTCATTTCAGGTTTTAATAGAAGCCATGGAAAAAAAATGCAGCACTGAATCAAAAACAGACAAAACACATAAAAGCTTAAAAGCTGTTGAGGTTAGTTCATAAAGCAAATGACCTGAAAAATAAAAAAAATAAAAAAAATGTAGATTTTTCTCTAGTATAATTCATCAGTATAATTCATTTCGCAATCAGCCAAAACTTCACATGTGGACGAAAAAAAATCCTTTGTGATAAATTTGTTTTTTGCTTCTAAATTTCATCATTACATTATATCCATCCCTGGGCCTAAATGAAGAAAAATAAGCTCTGTGAAATTTTCCAAAAGGCCACATTGGCAATGAAAAGGAATGATTGCACAGGTGGAAAGCATTGTCTCGTCTACTAGAGAAATGCATTTTTGCAAATATTGGTGGTTCAGAGGTTACATGTGTAGCTTGTAATGATTTTTTTGTTTTCTTTTTTCTATTTTGTAGTTCCTCTGAGGTGATGAATGGCAATGGGTATTATGCCCATAGCCATGTCTCAAGAAGTAGCTTATTCTGTGTTGCCAAACATGATTTATGACAAAAAAAGGGGAAGGAGGAATCTTTGACTTCACCGTTTGCCCTCCTGCACTTCCAAATGGACCAAGAGGAGTTTTAGCGGTATTGGATTGACACAGCAACTGCACACATCTGGTTTGGCCATATTTCCAGACTTTTCTTATGCCAGAGATCATTTAAAAGAAAATAGAAATTGAAAAATAGAATTACGTTGTGGTGAAAAAAGCAACAGTATCCATGACAAAGATTCTTATTTTCTTTAAATGCCTGCATTGCTGGCTTACTGAGGCTATTGTTCAGTGATTTGTTGATCCAAGTTTTAAAACGTACAGAGTTGTGTGCTGTGAGGAGGAAGGCAATTATCTGTATTCATAAATAGAAATTTTAATTGTTTACCTGATTTAAAAATGACACTGGTAAAAACAAGCTGTTCTTGTTTGTCAGTAAATATACAGTATCTCTGCAACATGAGGGAATGAATGGCATAAAAATTTAGTAAATACTATAAAAGCATTTTTGGAAAGATAACACTGATACTATACACACACACACACACACACACACACACACA